GTGGAATGTTTGAATTTAGCACATATGTAAATGACACTGGATAGTGTTCAAAGGAGCTGTGGCAGATCTTTAGTAACATGTAAGTAACTGCATTTCCCAAAGAGGAAATCAGGAAAAGTAAAAAATAAATAAAATCAAGAAGGCAGTTAGGACATTACAAAGCCCCATCCTTCTGTGCTTCTCTAAGACAGTGTATAAACAAAACAGGTGGGCTTCAATCACGCTGCCACAAGATTCCTGGATCTCACTAGATTGTTTTCTTTAATTGACATCATACTGAAAATCAATGCAGTAAGAGCAAAAGTGAAATGTGCACACATTAAAGGACACTCATGTGCCGCCATATTCTGAACCAGCTGCAACTTCTGGATGCTCTTCAAGGGCAATTTTATGTAAAGCACATTTCAGTAATCCACTCAAGAGATGGCTAAACTATCAGTAATTGTAAGAAGAATTTTCTGCTCCAAGTAAGAGCACAAATGGAACACAACACAAAGCTATGCAAAAACACACCTAGGAACACAGCCATCTAATCCTCAAACAAGAACTGCAATCATAAACACAAAGCTTTCTCTGTGTACCCTGCACAACAGATACAATGCCCTTGCTGACCTTAATAAGGAAATTAAGGAGACAGGTAAAGGTATTTGTGATGATAACTCAAATAAGCAGGAGTTCGTGGACCGAGATGAAGAACTTGTTTCCGACAGGGAGAAGTGCGAATCAGGTATTACACACAAGTCATGCAAGAACAGAAAGGCATCCAAAAAGAGAAGCCACCTTCTGGTTGATAATTCAATTATAAGGGATATAAATTTAGGAAAGGACACAGAGGTTTCAAAAGAGGTCAGATGTCTCCCAGGTGCTACTGCCAGTAGGGATAAGAAGCGTATTTCTAACATAATTAAGAATACCAGCAAGGACTGTGATGTGGAGGCTATTGTACATCTTGGCACTAACGATCTATCCCAAAAAGATGTACTCTCTGTGCAGAACGATTTCCAGAACTTGGGGCAGGAACTTTGCAAAATAGGCTGTAGGCTAACTTTTTCAGAGGTTTTACCAGTGTATAAAAAACAAAATGGAAAAGGCCAGCGTATAGCACAATTCAATATGTGGCTAAAGGAGTGGTGTAAAGGGGAAGGCTTTGGATATATTAGTCATGATGTCAGTAGTTGGTCCCATGAAAAAATGTACAAAAGAGATGGTTTGCATCCATCAAAGAAAGGGACTGAATTACTTGGCTATAAATTCACAGATTTTCTGGAGGAATATTTAAACTAAACAGCAGAGACAGTGAATTAATCGATACAGAGCATCCCTGTCCCCGGCAATCTAAAAACACTAGGGCTATCAGTGCATGTAACATAGATATGTGTGTGGACAAAAATACCAACCATGCTGTCAAGCAAAATCAAGCTTTTAATAACGAGTGTCACACAAAGTGCACTAACCAAATAGGTGGTAAGACAATAGGGGAACTCAGGCACCACTCAGGTTATGTAGAAAGTAAACACAGGGTCGGTCATAAAGGACTCAAATGTCTATACACCAATGCACAGAGTATGAACAACAAACAAGGTGAACTAGAAATTCAGATCAATGAGGGCAGATATGATATTGTTGCCATTACAGAAACATGGTGGGATGAAACCCACAAATGGAACACACAGCTAGAGGGATTTAAATTATTTAAAAGAAACAGATCAAATAAAAGAGGAGGTGGAGTTGCTCTCTATATAAGAAATAACTACATCTCCATAGAAATAGAGCACAGCAATGACGAAAACTGTCTTGAATGCATTTGGGTCAATATAAAAGGGAGAAAAAATGACATTGCCATAGATGTATAGTATAGGCCACCCAACCAAACAGAGAAAATAGATGAACTTTTTGCTAGTCAGCTAACTAAGGTATGTAGGAAGCACATCACCATAGTAATGGGGGACTTTAATTACCCTGACATCAACTAGGAGACAAACTCTACACCAAGTGGAAGATCAAACAGATTCCTGACAAACCTAGCAGACAACTTTATCTCCCAAAAAGTAGAGAAGGGAACTAGGGGATTAGCCATTTTGGATCTAATTCTCACTAACAGAGATGAAATGATAGAAGGTGTTGAAGCCACAGGAACCTTGGGAGGTAGTGATCATGCAATATTGGAATTCAACATTATGGAAGCACAAGCAATAGAACATAGTCAAACTAGAGTCTTGGACTTCAAGAGAGCTAATTTCAATAAACTTAGAGAGGACTTGGGAAGGATTCCATGGATGAGAATCCTCCAAGGGAAAACAATGCAAGAAGCTTGGGAAATTTTGAAAAGCAAGATAATAGAAACCCAGTCTAGCTCAATACCAACAAAGAGGAAAAATAATAGCTCTCAAAAGAAACCAGTATGGCTGCATAAAGAATTCTCTAACAAATTGAAAGATAAAAAGGACAAGTATAGAAAGTGGAAAGAGAGGCACATAACTAAGGCAGAATATCAACAAATAGCCCGAGCCTGCAAAGATGAAGTGAGGAAACCCAAGGCTCAAAATGATCTAAGGCTTGCGACCAAAGTCAAAAATAACAAAAAAAGCTTCTTTCAACATGTAAAAAACAAGAAAAAAGTGAAGGAAACTATTGGTCCATTAGTGGGTGAAAGTGGTAAGAAGGTGACTAGCAATAGGGAGAAAGCAGAACTATTTAACTTGTTTTTTGCATCTGTCTTTACACAAAGGGAAAAACAGTCCAACCTATCAAAAATAGTGCCATAAAAAACAGTTAAGATAGGCAAGAAAATGATAAGTGAGCACCTGTCCAGCTTAGATGAGTTCAAATCACCAGGACCAGATGGATTATACCCCAAGGTTCTCAAGGAACTGGCAGATGTGATCTCAGAACCACTGAACTATATTTTTCAAAGATCTTGGAGCACTGGGGAACTACCAGAGGACTGGAAAAGAGCTGATGTAGTTCCCATCTTCAAAAAAGGAAAAAAAAATGGATCCAGGAAATTACAGACCTATCAGCCTGACCTCAATACCTGGAAAGATTCTGGAAAAGATAATCAAACAACGAATCAGCGAATACCTAGAGGCAAACAAAGTCATTACTAAAAGCCAACATGGGTTTGTCAAAAACAGATCATGCCAGACAAATCTTATTGCATTCTTTGACCAAGTGACAAAATTAGTGGATCAGAGGAATGCTGTGGATATAATTTATTTGGATTCAGTAAGGCATTTGATAAAGTAGATCACAACCTACTACACGATATGATAGAAAAATGTGGGTTAGACAGCATCACCACCAGATGGATTCGTAGCTGGCTGACCGGCCGTACTCATCGTGTGGTCCTCAATGGAACTGCATCTACACGGAGGGACGTGTGTAGTGGGGTGCCCCAGGGCTCTGTTCTAGATCCAGTGCTCTTCAACATCTTCATCAGTGATTTGGACGAGGGGATAGATGGGGAACTCATCAAATTTGTGGATGACACCAAGCTAGCAGGAATAGCCAACACTTCAGAAGCAGGCTTAAGATACAGGAGGATCTGGACAGACTTGAACACTAGGCGCTATCTAACAAAATGAAATTCAATGGTGAAAAAAGTAAGGTTCTACATTTAGGCAAGAAAAACCAAATGTACAGGTATAGTATAGGCCAGGGGGTACCTTGCTCAATAGTAGTAACTGTTGAGAGGGATCTTGGAGTCCTAGTAGACAATCACTTAAATATAAGCCAGCAGTGTGCTGCAGCTGCCAAAAAAAGCCAACAATGCTGGGTTGCATTAACAGGATAGAATCAAGATTCCGTGAAGTATTAATACCACTTTACAATGCCTTGGTAAGGCCACACTTGGAATACTGCATCCAGTTTTGGTCACCACGATATAAAAAAGATTCTGAGACTCTAGAAAGACTACAGAGAAGAGCAAGAAAGATGATTAGGGGATTGGAGGCTACAACATAAAAGGAACGGTTGCTGGAATTGGGTATGTTTAATGAAGAAAAGGAGGAGAGGGAACATGATAGCAGTGTTCCAATATCTCAGGGGCTGCCACAAAGAAGAGGGAGTCAAGCTATTCTCCAAGGCACCCGAAGGCAGGACGAGAAGCAACGGATGAAAACTGATCAAGGACAGAAGCAACTTAGAACTAAGGAGAAACTTCCTGACAGTTAGAACAATTAACCAATGGAACAACCTGCCTCCAGAAGCGGTGAATGCTCCAACACTGGAAGTTTTTAAGAAGAGACTGGACAGCCATTTGTCTGAAATGGTGTAGGGTTCCTGCCTGAGCAGGGGGTTGGACTCAATGACCTCCAAGGTCCCTTCCAACTTTACTATTATTATTATTATTATTATATCGATCATCGCACAGTCAGCCAGATGTTCAGACTGGATTTGGCATTTTGTCTACCTATCGAGTCCTTACCCAGGACCTGGGATAGGCAGATGTGGATGTTTGATGGTATTACAGATATCGTCGCAGGATGGAAGCAGTTCCTAATAAGGCCTGCCTTTTGCAATTGACTAATAGCGAATTTGTCAATGCCAATGGTGTTCAAGTGGTGCTCCAGTTGTTTTGGGATTGCACCCAAGGAGCCTATGACTATTGGTACTACCCTTGCTTGCTTTTGCCACAGTCTTTCTATTTCTATTTGTAGGTCTTTGTATTTTGTTATCTTCTCCAGTTCTTTCTCTTCTATTCTGCTATCTCCAGGCACTGCCACGTCCACTATCCAGACTTTTTTTGTCTTTCTTATCGACAATTGTTAAGTCTGGGGTGTTATGTTGCAGGTATTATTATTATTATTATTATTATTATTATTATTATTATTATTATTATTATTATTAAGTCCTAGTTTCTTCAGCAACCATTATATTAGGGAAGGCCAAAGAACGATTGAACAGGTTGATTTCTCAGCACATAGTTCAATTATATTTGTACTGTATGTCTATACAACATGCTGAGGAAAATATTACACCTGCATTTTTAAAGTTCCTACCTCCACCTGGATGAGTTGAATAGTTTTCTCCCAGTACTACTGGAATGCCTGCTTCTTCCAACAAAATCTTCCATTTTTTAATTATATTTATAGAATTATCCTGATAAGAAAAAGCATCAAAAAGTTTAATTTTTAACTTTTAAATGTTAAACAGGTTAACTGGAACTGGTATTCAAAATTATAGTAGTACAGTAATTACTATAAATGTACATACCGTGCTAGAATCATTAAAAACAGAGAGTTCAATAGAACCTTGGAAATCTTGATCCAGAACAGACTTCAGACATTCATCCAGCCAGAACTCAGCATTGTAGACTGGCAGAATCACAGACTACCATGAATAAAAATACATAAATATAACATCAACCAATATGCCGCATTATCATTATTGATGTCTAATTTAAACAAACATATGCTACAGAGCAATGATTTCTGAGCAGAAAAAAGCAATATCATTTTCCTTACAAATGGTTCCTTTTTTGTCATTTAAAACTTGTGCAAATACAATTAATCTCTCAGTGTTGATGTCTTTCTCTTATTCTGGGTTCCTTCTTTCTTCCCAAGTCTGTCTTGGTTCCTCACTACTTCAAATTATTACCAGAATTGATTTGGGAGCATGCTTGCTCACCTGAGATCAACAAAGAGCAGTACTTTCTGAATATAATCCCACATATAACTGCAGATTTCAAAAGACCTATTATATTCATATATGTACTGTATATATTTACTAAATTTATATCCCACACTTCATTCAACTGCTGAAAATAGTAAACCTTCTTCAAAAATTACTTTGATAACTTTTATTTTAATATCTCCAACCTGTATCAAAATCAGAAACTGTTCTGCAAAAGCTATTAACAACGTAAATCATTATAAACTAATTCCAAATTTCATAATTCCAATTACAATTGCATTAGCAACTATTCTTTTTCAGAGTCAAATTTGAGCTACATTATATTTATTCTAGTACTTTACTACATAAAAGACTTACATAGTAGACTTTGACAAATTGCAATATCAATATGCGTATCTTAAGAGACAATAATCTATCTCATAAAAAGCAACAAATAGTATAAAGAGACAATTAATCTGCATTCCAAACTGCCACTGGTGTACACACTTTTCCCCTCTAGCAAGTGTGATGAACTCTTTTGTTGCACTGAACTTGGATGTCAGAACAGATTATTCTTATAAGTGCTCCGGGTTTTAAAGGCACTCCACATCCACAATTTAGCATAACACAGACAAGCTCCATCATCCCTGTAGTCTAAACTGGAAAGGGGTCACAGGGATGGCCTTTGACCTCATGCTGTGCTTTCAAGATGTTTCAAGGACCTTTAAAGCTAAGCGCATCAAAAGGAAAGGCTCTACTCTGCCAACATGTCAAAAGAACCACAGGGTCACAGCAGGCATGATTTTGGCAGGTTACAAGGCTCTCAGGAAATTTAGCAAATATTAAGAGCAACCTCCCTAAACCAGTACCCTCCGTATCTCTTTTACTACAACTCCCAGCACCAACAGTAAGCTTAGTCAATTTAAGAGTTTGGATTCCCAAGGCACATACATTTTAAAAACAAATGGACATTTTTGGATAAATGTATTGTTTAAAATATTTAATACATGATTATAATATATATTCTCAACGATTGGTTCTTAGGCATCTTCGGTATTCTTCAAATGGTCTCCACACTATGGTTTAAGGCACAAAAACAAACCATTTGTGCCATGGCTCAAGATACAAATGGAAAAAAACTCTGTCTTGAGTTGAGCTCAGCTCTTGTTACTACATGGACATATCCATATTAATTTTTTGGCAAAAATATGAAGCTAGTTTCAGAATAATTCTTCCTTCCTGTCTCACCTGATTAACTTTTTTTAGTTCACCCCAGAGCAGTTAGTTGCTTCCACTTTCAGCGGAAATAAAGTGAAAAGTCTTAACAAGTAGAAAATTGAAATTACTAAATACTAACTAATAGGAACTAATTATACATTATATAAGAAGCCATTTTTGTGTAGTGGTTAAAGCATCAGGCCATGAGTTGGGTGACCTTGGGCTAGTCTCTCAGTCTTATGAAGGAGTCAACAGCAAACCACTTCTTAAAAAGTTTGCCATGAAAACTGTAGGGAGTCTCTGAGAATTGGACAGGACTGAATGGTAGAAAATAAAATTATATAAATATGCATGTGATAAAACCATAGCTGCTATATTATACAATATTGTAAAAGAGTAAGAGAACATATTAAGCACACTGTTCTCTATTTCAAAATATACTCTTCTGGGGTGTTTTGATTCTTAAAATACACACAATTTACCGCATTGATATCAGTATATTGCAAACACACATTTGATCTGTTGTTCTACACATCTTGCTACCCTAGCAAACCTAAAAGAAATGACTAATTGATGAATGCAACCACTTTGCACCATTCTTGATTAGTCTGTCAGTAGCAAAATCCTTCAGTTAAGTATGTAATTTTTCATGATCAACGATAGTTCTTGATCCTACATATATCTGAAATCTTATATTTTGATATTTCTGCAAAAAATCAGCCAAGCCACAGCAAATTTGGAAGAAATATGGAACATACCACTTGAATCCTACACTTTCCTCCTGCTTTCCTGTTGAAAGGACCATCAGACTGCAATTCAGTGTTGCCAAAGAAAGGAGATGACAGACTGTGTGAATGGTCTTGCTTGACAAGTCCAGGATCACAGTCTGGTAAAAGGAAAGGCGGTTTACCAACTTCCTGACAGACTGTTTCAGAGACATCCATTTGTAATTATAATTCAAGAAAAAAGAAACCAATACAGGATAGGCATAAAAGACATACAGCAAACAGAACGTGACCTCTCACAAGCAAGGATTACCATTCCGCTGGCAATTTTTTTTCCCCTCTCCCTCTCTCTCAATCCCTGCTATAATTTCGGATATGATAATATCCTGATGAAAAAGAAGCCCCTATAAAGGCTCAGGTGAAGGTCGAAAAACAGGATAAGAAAATAAAAAAATGCAGTTGCCAACAGTGAAATTAGGTCACAGAGTTTAACGAATACTGTACATAGGTAGAAAAGAAAGTGGGCACAGAAAGAGGAAGACGCCAACACAGTAGGAAACGGGGCGGGTAGAAGAAAGGTCGGCGAGTGCAGTGGTTTCGGTTGGTCTTTCCTTCCTGTGCACTTCTTTCGCTTTTTGGAGCTTTCCGATTTTCCCCTTTTGCGGCCGCCAGAAGGGAGCAAACACGCGCCCATTTACCCACCCGGTTTGGCGGAAGAGTAGAGAGCGCAGGCTAGAGCGGCAGGGAAGGAGGGGCCAAAGGCAGCAGCGCTGTTCCGTCGCCGCTTCAAGCGCGCTTTCAGAGTTGGAGGAGGTGGAGCGTGGAAACGTAGCACCGGTTACCGCGAATGTGAAAAGTTGCGGGGAGGGAATTGTTATCCAGCAAAGCTAGTGTGCTTCTTAGATGTGTGCGCTCCTTAATTGCTCTCGTTATTACTTGTTTCCCGTAAGAACCTTTCAATAGAAAAATAACCCTTTGCCCAGGTTTAGAAGCAAAGTGCCGATCAGGGAGGCGTCGAGCACTGCGTCTTTGTCCAAAGGAACTTTGCTAAGAGCGTGCATGGTTCACGGATTGTTAACCCCATTTATTCAATCACGCAATGCATTATTCCAAGCAACTCCCAATATGTACTACAAATGTGTGTGACCTTAACCAGATCTACTTCTAATTCTCAGAAAGCTCACGCCATACTGTAAATATGTCAAGGTTTTTGACTATGATACAAGAAACCAAACAATTGTCTCATTCTCCTATTCGGCATCCTTTAAAACTTCTCTTCCTCGCTACACGGATTCGCGTTTCTTCCGACTCTTTGAAACCGCCACCCGCCAATGTGTTTTTCTTCTAGTGAGTCCATCAATTAAAACCTTTTTACCCAACCATGTGTGCTCCAGATGTATTGGATTTTATTAACATTTGAAGTGGTTTTTGTTTTTAATCGCAAAGCTTGCATATGTGTCTATAAATGTTGATGTGGGTAAGCCCATTTCTTGTTTGAATTAATTATTGCAAAAGATTACTTTTACTGTTTATTGTCTTTTCCTAGCTGTTTATGTTACTCATAATTTCATTACATTGTCTTATTTTGTTCGTAATGATTGCTATCTAGCTGGAGTTACAGCCAGTGGTGGGATTCAGCCAGTTCGCACCACTTCAGCAGAACCGGTAGCTAATTTTTTGTTGCCTAGACCCAGAATGGACTTCTAGAAATGGCATCCACACAGAGAACTGGTTGTTCACATATTTGAATCCCACCACTGGTTACAGCAAGAAGGCCTCCAAGGTCCTATCCAGCTCTAGGATTTCATGAACCTGGTGATCAAGGCAGGAGTCCTTATACCATCCTGGTCAAATGTACTTGAGATGGGTAACCATACAAATAACTAAAACATTTTAATCAATTCATATTGAAATTTAGATTTTTTTTAATTAATGCATGGAGTAAGGTTATTTTAAAATATTCATATGCATATTGTGTTGGGGCTGGGGGGGAGGGGGTTATTGAATGCCTGATAACTTTATATACCTTATTGAGTGATTTCCCACTTTTTGCTGAATGTTTAAGTAGAATTAATATGCTGTTATAATGTATGTGGCCACACATGAGGAAGTTTTGATACTAGTTGTCAGAAACAAATCCTGACATTTCTTGTTATGACCTTTTGCTTTCAGTATTGGCTACTGTATGATGTTTATGCCGTTTTAGATATTAGTCATAACTTGTATTATCTTCAGCAGAAAAGCCTGAAGTAAATCACTTTTTCTGCTTCCTCCCTGAAATTGCCTAATTAATGTGTAATGACTATGTTCACTGTAAAAATGTGAACAACCATAAACTAGTTCTATGAATACACGTTAAATTTAAAATGATTTCTCTGAAACCAGTCCTCACCCAAGTTCATGCTCCATACCAACTTGCTTATGAAAGTACATGGTTGCGTTTGCAATTGTATAAAATGAAATTTTGGGATTGACTAACACAAGATGTGCTGGCTTCCAGCTTAAATGATTTGAAAAAAAAAGAGAAAGTGGATCAATTCATGGAAATTATGAGGACAGTGACCATTAGCCATAACAGCAATGTGACTGTTTATAAAGACTATCTGCTGGGAGAATAGTGGACTTCTTTGTGCAGTTGGTTGGCCATTGTGAAAATAAACTGGATGGCCAAGAATCCCATCTAGAGACGCCAATTCCACAAGAGTCTGCTTGTAGTGTCTTCTATATACATAAATGTTAATATTTGGAAGAATTTCCGCTTGAAGTTTGTTCCCAGTATTTAAAATTGTGTTTCAGATATGTACATACATAACAATGTTCATTTGATTATACTTATTTTAGAAGAAAAAAGGATCGATCCCCACTTATCTGTACATTATTTCTAAAGTAGATTGTAGAGTTAACTCCTACATTAAAGGCGAAAAAATGCACAAATTTACCAGACTATATATGTTTATTTTTCCCATTAGTTTTTGGATCTTTTTTCAAATTGTGTTTTAAATGTTACCAGTCAAGCATTTTGTCAGATTGACTAAAACAGCAGAGATTGCATGGAAGACAGAGGTTTATTAACTGAATAAAGGGATACAAGAAAAAAATATTTTTTCCTTTTGGTCATGCTATATCTCTGGTATTTAAATATGCTAAACATTTTTTCAGGTTTTTAAATTTCTCCTTTTGTTCCAGTATTTGTCCTAGTCACCAATTTAGACCTGTCCACAGGGAGCCCAAATTCTAGTGAATTTGAGTGCCTCCATCAAGAAAGTGTTATGCAAAAGTAGCACAAAAGTTGTATGCAGAGGTTACTGTTCATCTCTTCCCAGGAAGGATTGAGTGATCATAAACAAGGTTACTGGACAATAAGTGTTGGTACAGTAATGGAGAAGTCACAACACTTCTTAATCCTGATTACCATAATGTAAGATCAAATATGAGCTATTTTGATACTGGCAATTGCTAGATTTCTTCTTTAAAGTTAGTTAATTCTTATTGTCTAAAGTTTTTCTATTTCTAGCTCTCTTCAAAGAGTTGTATCCTTGAATTACTGCCTATAAGTCTTTCAGTATCAGCCAGAAGAAGAATGACAGGTGTTGCAGAAAGAGGGGGAAAAATAGATGATGTCACCTATTCTTGGCTTTGTTTCTAATCCCCACTTGCTTCAGTCATGTCCATGTGTCCACTTAATAGACTATCTTTGAGGAAATATGACCCTTGATAGGAAAAACAAGATTTTTTACTCCAATTTACATGAAGTTGCTAACCATATTATTTTGCTACATTTGCTTGACTATGCAAATTTGTTATGACTTGCCTGACAAAGAGCAATAGGACAGGATAGCATTTCATTAAACGTGCTTTTTTAAAGTGGGCCCTATTGAATTTATTGGGATTTATTACTGAACAAATAAGGGCTGTGATTATATAAGCTAAAATATAAAGATACGTTATAACGGATGTCATTAGAAAGTAATGAACAGAATGCACTGAAGGCAACTGCTTAGGTGCATGTATTTAATTAATACCTTGGTTCAGTTTGCAAGGAAAAAAATAAAGTTATACTAAAATAAATGGGTTGATATTCCTTTCTCCTTATGGGGATATAGCTTCTTTGATCCATACATCATATAAAGTTAAGCCATTTATTAAACACTAGAAAGTAGTTGGAATTTCATATGTGCCTTCTAAAAAATCAGTATCATGAGATCTTAGTAAGACTGTTCATAGATTCTGTCTCTAGTTGAGAAAAAAGTCATTACTTCAATTGGCCAGCCATATATAAATGAATTCAGTATTACAGTGTTAGAATTTTGCTTTCCACAGTATATTTGAGAGGTTAAACATTCTGTTGTATAAGTACAGGAAACATCTGACAACTTAAAATGGGAAAGTGCTTATAGAAATAAATCATAATCTGACAAAGGAATGTACACACAACTGCAAAAAATCCATACCAGAAGTCATGCAAGATAAATTGCACATGCAGTGTTATATGCTATTCCAGAAGAAAAGGAGATATGTTATAAAAAGAGTTCAAAGAATAAGACCCACAAATAGATCTCACTGAGCTTGATGTTAATGTATGCCACAAGGACTGGAAAGTCAGTCAGGCACATGGGCTCTAACTCTGCCTAAGAGGGGGAAAAAAATTGTTGGCTGGCTTGTTTAAAATATAGCTAATTTCTACCCTGGTAATAAATAAAAAGCATGTTCGTTTTTATGCATATTGTCTTTCACTGAATTATCTTCTTAATTTTATCTCTTTATATAGTTAAGATACCCTATGTTCTAAAAAATCAAAGGTCAGTATTTTTGGCTTCTGTGTAGAAATCAACTTCTGTTGCAGCCAAAATCACTTTCTGTGCAATAAAATATTTTAAACATCAAATAATTCTGCGTGATTTTGATTTTTTTAAAAAAAGTGCACTAATTTATCTAAAGAACATAAGAGGTATTGTACTTGATTACACCTAGTATAGTTCAATCCACCAATCAAACACAACAGGAAGTCAATAGCACATTCATACTCTTTTTTTTTGAGCAATTGATATTGAGAAAAATATTTTATTTATTTACCTTTGACTCATTACCCAAAAATCAGATATTAAACTATAATCTAATCACAATTCTACTATAATTTAAGCAACATTATTCTTCCAACTTCAAAAAAAGTCCTGAGAAAAGTGCCATTTTAAATTTCAGAAAATCCAAGTCCAGGAGTTTAGCGGGGGGTTCAATCCCAAATAAATGCTAGATGAGAGAAGGCTTTGAAACTTAAAGTAGCCATTCCAATCTAGGAAAAACTAAATGATGCTGATTCAGCAGTCAAAACACATGAAATGCAATCATATTCAAATAACTAGATCAGGGGTCTTCAAACTTGGCCCTTTTATGACTCATGGACTTCAACTCCCAGAATTCCTCAGCCAGGCCTGAAGACCCCTGAACTAGATGCTTCTCTGCTCAACTCCAGCAATTAAAAAGTGGTAAACCTCTCATAGACCCATCCAATGTAAAGACTGTAAGAAAAGAAGATAGTAGTTTGGGAGAGAACAACTTCATTATAAAGTGGCAAGAATCAGAAAAAGATTGAAGAAAATTAGAATGAAAACAGTAAATTTAGTATTGTGTAGATTTAATTTAAAGTGGTAAGAACAATCCAACTAAAAGCCTCAGCAAAACAATCAGAAAAGGAAGCATGTACCACATCATCCGAAACAGGTGCAGAAGAATACAGCTGGATGTCAGCTTAACTATGA